CCCTCCCTCTTTGGGGGGGCCGCTTTGGTTCTTTCGTTTGTATTTCTGCCCCTCTTGGTTTTTTTTTTGCTTCTACCCCCCCCACCGGCACCCCCCCCAAAAAAAATGCATTCAGAACTATGCCAAGGGTTTGGTACATTCACCATCCACTCCTTCCACTGTTGAGTCCCTTGTTTTATCTGCATTTATTTATTCACCCACCTCAACCCATTCCCATGCCCCCCCAACCCAACCCAATCCAACCACTGCTGTTACTTTGTTGTACTTGCTTTTATGCACAGGGTTTGGGGTTGGCTGCGTTCATGCCACTCCCCTTGCTGAGACTCTTGTACCTGCATTGATTTATCCATCCACCTCGGCCTGGTTGACAAATGAGAATTTATCACCGGTGCTGAATTCCCCCACTATTAACATCCTGGTGGTTACCATTGACCAGCAACTGAACTGGACTAACTATATCAACACCATGGCTACAAAAGCAGGTCAGAGGCTGGGAATCCTGCAGTGAGTAACTCACCACCTGACTCCCCAGAGCCTGTCCCACTATCTACAAGATACAAGCCAGGTGTGTGATGGAATATTCCTCGCTTGCCTTAGTGAGTGCAGCCCCAACAACGCTCAAGAAGCTCAACAGCATCCAGGACAAACCAACTAGCTTGATTGGCACTCCCTCTACCACCAATGCTCAGTAGCAGCAGTGTATACCATCTACAAGATGCACTACAGAAATTAACGAAACCTCTTTAGACAGCACCTTCCAAACACATGATCGCTATCATCTAAAGGGCAAAGGCTGCATGTACACAGGAACACTACCCCCTGCAAGTTTCCCTCCGAGCCACTCCCCATCCTGACTTGGAAATATATCAATGTTCCTTCATTGTCTCTGGGTCAAAATCCAGGAATTCCCTCCCTCAGGGCATTGTGGCTCTACCTACAGCACGTGGACCACAGCAGTTCAAGTATACAGCTCACTGCCACCTTCTCAGGGGCAACTAGGGATGGGCAGTAAATGTTGGCCCAACCTGTATGCCGTGAGTGAATAAAAATATTAACTGAAATGAGCTCAAAGTGCTGGAGAAACTCAGCAGGTCTGGCGGCATCTGTGGAGACAAAGCAGAGTTGATGTTTCAGAGTCCAGAATATCTCGTCCTCAGAACTGAGTCATACTGGACTTGAACAGAAATTGCTGGTGAAACTGGGTAGGTTTGGCAGCATTTTATGGAGAGAAAGCAGAGGCGAAGTTTCAAGTCCAGTGATCTATCTTCAGAATGATTTTGCAGAAGGGTCACTGGGCCCAAATCCTTGACTGTGCTTTCTGTCCACAGATGCTGCTAGACCTGCAGAGTTTCGCCAGCAATTTCTGTTTTTGTTTCAGACTTACAACATCCAGAGTCTTTATGTTTTGTCTTTCGTACTGGACTTCTTGGGCTGAATGGCCTACTTCTGCTCCTACATCTTCTCATCAAACTGGGCAGATGAGGGTTAGCTACAGATCAGCCATTGATCTAATAAAGGAGAGATAGAGTAGTTAATTTGGTGCAAATCTTATAATGGAAGTAAAATTCTGCAGATGTTGAAAATCTTAAACAAATACAAAGAGTAGAAGAGATGTCCTGGGCTCACAATGTTAACTGCGTTCCTCTTTCCACAAATACTGCCAGACCTGCTGACTTTCTCCACCATTCCCTGTGTTTGTTTCAGATTTTCAGCATCTGCAATATTGCTATTATTTTAACATTTACACCTATTTTACATCTCTGATTCTCCTTTACCTCATTGTCACTGCCTTCATCTTTGGTCCACATCACTTTTTCGATCTATTCCACTTGCTTTATGTTGTAAACAAAGCAGCCATCATTTTCCAGCTCCTTTCAGTTTTGAAGAATAGTTGTCCTGGACTCTGAAATGTTAACTGTGTTTCTATCTCCACAGCTGCTGCCAGACTTGACGAGATTCTCCAGCATTGTGTTTGTTTCAGATTCATAGCATTTTGCTTTTCTAAAACTGACAAAGTCCTCTATTTCTTTCATCTCTTAAAATTAATTAAAGCCCCCTGTTCACCCTGTTATTTGTCTTTTTCTCCTCGGAGAGCCGTGATGGAGTTGTCACTATGTGATAAATCTGGGGACCACAGGGCTTTCGCATTGCCACCATGCAAGTTGCCTCCCCTCTGGAATTCAAACTCCTTTGTCCACGTTTGGATGTGTTTTGGAGTTGGGGACCCTGTCAGAACTCAAACCTAACAGCAGTTATTGTTCAGTAAGTTAGTGCAGGTTGACAGCATTGTCGAAGGCCCATGTTCCAACTGTTGTATTTTGGTGTTCCATCCTTGGTGGCTATGCCTTCATCTGCTTTGCTCCAAGCTCTGGAATTCCCTTTCCTTAAACCTCTCTCGTCTTCTCCCTTTAAGACTATTCTTAACACCTATCTTTGCTTTTGTGTCCCCTGCCTTAATACTTCCTTGCAAGCCTTAGCTTCTAATCTTGTCACAATCTCTCACTATGAAGCGCCATGGATCTTGTAGAAAATTAAAGGTGCTATCTCAACAATGTTGTTGTAAAGATGCAGTGTAATAGTAGATGATCTTGCTGAAATCAAATGGTCATTCTCTCAGTATCGTATTCTCTCAAACATTCAGTAACGTCAACGGCAAATTAAGTTACTTGACAGGCACGCGAATGTACAAAGGTTGTTACGTTAATTTCCATGATTGGGGAAATATTATAAAACAGCAGGTCTGTGAATTGTATACCTAATCATCTGGACTGTTGAGGCAGTGCAGCCTTGTTAATGAAGATCTCATTCTCAGTTAAGCACAATTCCAGATAGCAAACCTTTTTGACTTCTGTTTTAAAGTAACCCCTGGAATAAGTCACCTTGGCATTTGGCGTTACTTCTGTTTCGCTTTGGATTTAGTACTTGCGTTTAGCATTTTCTGAGTTTGGTGCATTACAGCAAAAACAGCATTGACATTTGCATTGGTCTACATTATCCAGTTGTAACTGATATCAACACTCAGATCAATGCTGGTGTAGAGAAAATGTGCAAAATTGAAAAGGTCATGATACTCACAGGAACATGCCCAGGTGCTCCATATTGGCCCTGAGGGATGGATGCTTTTGGTATAAGCACCAATAATAAAAACCTGCATTTTTGGGGCACTAATAAATTTTACAGCAGATTTAATTGGATTAATAGAGACCAAGTCGTCCAATGGGAATGGATATCTATTGAATATAAATTGCAAAATTATATCTGGATAAAGATGAGAAATTTCATTATGTGGAGGGTTAATTGTATGTTGAATGCCTTCCCAAAATATGGGTGTAGGCAGCTTTTTTGAAGGGAAGTGGTGTTATAATTCAGATGGGCATGAGCTGGCACAGGCAGGCTGAATGTTGTGTCTGTGCTGTCAAATTGAATAATTCTATGAGATCCCCAAAGCAGGACGCTGTTGCAGAAAATTTTCCACATGAATGTGCAAGATTCCTATTTCAAACCACATTTGAATGTGGCATTAATGATGCTCACTGTTAATTCTAGTAAGGACAGCGTATGTTGTACCCACAACCTGCCACAGGGTTAGCAGTGACAAAAAAAGCTGGAACACAAACACACACTCAGGTTAAATTCTTGCAATGTAACCAGTTCTGAGGACTCCTTCCTCATTCCTCAGAGTTTTGCTTCTCAGCCTTTCCCAGTTAGTGTCAGCTGTGGCAAAGTGAGCAGAACTGTTGCCTTGACATCAGAAAGTTGTGGGTTCAAATTCCACTTCAGCACATGTAAGTCCCTGTGCAACACTGAGGGGTGCTACACTGTTGGGAGGTGCTGTCTGCAGATGAGATGTCAAAAACAAGGGCCTATCAACCCTCTCTCATTGATATCGAAAATTCTCTGTCATTACTTTGAAGAAGAGCAGGGAAATTATTCCTGGTGTCCAGACTGATATATAGCCTTTAGTCAACCTCGCACAAGCAGCTTTACCTGCTTGTTATCACATAGCTAAATGTAGGAGCTAAATTGAATGCCACATTTTAAATAACGCACTGCATTTCAAAAGTACTTCATGGCTATAAAATACTTCGGAGTGTTTGGCATTCATGAAAGGTGCTAGCCTTTCCTTTTGGGATTCTGGCATTGCGTCCTACCCGATTTCCCCATTCCAAGGACACACTGCTCTAGTATCGACCTGGAGTTTCCAGGATGGTACTCTGCACTTTTTTGTACACAAAGTACCCACAGGCAGACCATTTACAGTCTGAACGCACGACACCGCAGGCAGACCATTTACAGTCTGAACGCACGACACCATGGAGCAAATATTATGCACAGACAGCTCCCCTTCATGTCCAAAAAAAGCTGACTTTGAGAGTCGGTGAATTTCACCCTGGAAACTACAGATTAAGCTCACCTATTGGACATGGAATGCTAGGACAACGCAGGGACCTGAGGGATAATGTTTTCACACAGAAGGTGGTGCATTTATGGAACCCAGCTGCCAGAGGAAATGGTGGAGGCTGTACAATTACAACATTTAAAAGGCATCCGCATGGGTATGCGAACAGCAAAGGTTTAGAGGGATATGGACCTAATGCTGTCTTTTTCTCTAGGGCAGGGGATTTCGAGACTTGGGGGGATATTTTTAAGGTGACATGAGAAAGATTTAAAACAGACATGAGAAGCAGTTTTTTTTTTTTTTTTTGCTCTGTTTACACTAGTTCATATGTGGAATGAACTTCCACAAAGTGGTGGATGCGTGTACAGTTACGACGTTGAAATGACATTTGGATGAGTACATGAATAGGAGATGTTTGGAGGGATATGGGCCAAGCACAGGCAGGTGCAGCTAGTTTAGTTTGGGGTTACGGTCAGCATGGATTAGTTGGACCGAAGGGTCTGTCTCCTTGTTCTATGACTGAAAATGGGACTAGGTCAGGTTAGGATGTCTGGTCAGTGCGGACTATCTGGACTGAAGGGCCTGTGTCTATGCGGTATGACTCCATGACTATAACTGAGCGACTCCATGACTATAACTGAGCAACTCCCAACCGGAAATTTCCAAGTAAAATTCCAGCCTCTCAATGACATCCAATTAGAGCCCCGTTGAGGGAGGTTTGGAGGGGCTGGGGTAATGATTGGGACTCACTATCTACGGAACAATGACTTGAGTGAACGTAGGATAGTGTCAATGAAAATATATGTGCAAAAGGTAAGTAGATGTCAATGTTTTGAGGGAAATTGAATGTAAACTGACATTATTTAAGCAGCAAAACGAAAAATAGTGGTCAGGGATTAATCTAATGACTTCAGCGGTGTATGTAAACAAGACGGTTGGTGAGCTTAGACTGGATGCTTTTCCCAACATTGCCTTACATTCGATTCATCTAGTGTCTCCATGTTGGGGACTTTAAGATTCTGTCCCTGTTATTGCTGCCTTCTAGATTTGATGCCAGCGTCATTTTTGATCTGTGCCCTTTTTGTTTTCGTTACTTGTGACTGATTTTTAAAAAGTTGCTTTTGAATCCAGGACTTGGCTTGTTTGGTATTTTTGGCCACATCCAGGATTCAGGAACTTGGACGCACTACACCACAGACCACCTTGATGCTGTTTCCTTGGGATTGCATGTTTTCCCCGCTTACAGAGCTTGTATCTGTTTTAACTGCGCATTCATATGCTTTCTATTGCAGAGGCGACAGAGGACGTGGCCGTGGACGTTTTGGTGCAAGGGGTGGCCCAGTTGGGGGGTACGTGTCACGAGAGAGTCGTTTGCTAAAGATTTTTTCTATTACAATCCAGATTTTATTAATTTGAAACTTTTATTTCTTTCCGATGTAAACAGGTTCAGACCATTCGTTCCTCACATCCCATTCGACTTCTATGTGGTAGGTGACAGTATCTTTTCTGAACACATTACAGAGCACTGTGCAGCCAATGAGACAATTTTGACACACAGTCACTGTTATATGTTAGCTAATTTGTACACCGTAAGCTTTATGGTAATGACTGGGTAATCTACAACAGTGAGTTGCTGGAGTGAATATTGACCTAGATGCTAGGGCCTTTCTTTGATCGGTTACAATGGGCTCCTTTTCCTCCACCTGAGAGTGGAGATGCCAATGTTCGACTCGGGTAGACAAAGTCAGAGATCACATGACACCAGGTGAGAGCCCCAACAGGAGATAGTAAGAACTGCAGGTGCTGGAGTCATAGTCCCAACAGGTTTATTTGAATCACAAGTTTCAAAGCGCTGCTCCTTCATCAGGTGAAGTGGAAGGAAGCGCACTGGCGCAGAATTTATGTACAGAGGGATAATGGCAAGATAATTACAGGTAATTAAGAATGGTCATCCCTTCACTTGCTAGTCTGCTGTTGACACTTTACTTGCACCATTTGACACTTTTGATCACTTGCAAAGAATTGTTATTCAGCCTGTCGACACTCTACTCACACTATTGGGGAACACGGTTGTGGGGAAGTGTTGGCCTACTCAGGGACAAAAGGAGGGAATGTATGTGTGGAGCCAGAAGAGGTCGGTGAAGTCTTAAATGATAACTCTGTATCAGTATTCGTGAAAGAGAAGGAATTGGTAGAGGGGTGATCTCAGGGAATGGAGAGTCGCATTTCTAAACAAGTTGCTATTAAAAAGGAAGCGGTGTTGTGTGTCTTAAAAAGTATTAAGATAGATAAATCCCCTAGTCCTGATGGGATCTATCCCAGAATATTGAGGGAGGCAAGAGAACCAATTGCTGGAGCACTGGCGGACATCTTTGTATCCTCTTTGGTGACAGGTGAGGTCCCAGAGGACTGGAGAATACCAATGTTGTCTCATTGTTTAAAAAGGGTATCAGGGATAATCCAGGAAATTACAGGCCTCTAAGCCTCATGTTGGTGGTAGGAAAATTATTGCAAAAGAATCTCAGGGTCAAGATCTATAAGCATTTAGAAGCAAATGGACTGATTAACTCTCAACAGCATGGTTTTATGCAGGAGAGGCCGTGCCTCACTTAACTTGTTTGAGTTTTTTGAGGAGGTGACAAAAATGATTGAGGGAAAAGTGGTTGAGGTTGTCTACATGGACTTCAGTAAAGCCTCTGACAAGGTCCCTCATAGCAGACTGGTACAAAAGGTGAAGTCACATGGTATTGGGGTGAGCTGGCAACATGGATACAGATCTGGCTTAGTCATTGGAGACAGGGTAACAGTGGAAGGATGCTTTTCAGAAGGGAAGGTTGTGACTTGTGGTGTTCCACAGGGATCAGTACTGGGACCTCTGCTGTTTGCGATCTACATCAATGATTTGAAGGAAAATATAGCTGGTCTAATTAGTAAGTTTGCAGACAATGCAAAGATCGGTGGAATTGAGGATAGTGAGGAGGATTGTCAGAGGATACAGCAGGTTATAGATCATTTGGAGACACGGGCAGAAAAGAGGCAGATGGAGTTTAATCCGGACAAATGCATTTTGGATGGTCAAGTACAGGAAGTTATACAGTGAATGGCAGAACCCTTAGGAGTATTGATATGCAGAAGGATCTTGCTGTGCAGGTCCGCAAATCACTGAAAGTGGCGGTGTAGGTAGATAAAAAAGGTCTACAGCATGCTTGCTTTCTTTGGAAGGGGCATTGAGTACAAGGATAGGCAAGTTATGCTTGCTGGACCTGTGTGTAAACTTTGTGATTTGTATTCAAGGACATGCAAAAATACTCAATACTAATATTAATTAGATAAGGGATCGGTAGCAACAATACCCATTTAAAACAAAAATGTCTGCTTTGATTTTTCTTATCAAAGTGGATAACTTCATATTTCTCCACGTTTGTCTCCCTAGCATCTTGATCACCCACTATTTCTGAGTAGTTTCCTGGTTTACCAACATGAGGACAGACACTAAGAATGTTTAGTATCTCCAACATTTCCTTATTCTCCATCACAAATTTCTCCTGCTTCTGTCTCAATGTGATTCAAGTTGAATTTTGTTCAGTTATTTTGTGTCTGCATTGTTTTAATTGAAAGCCCCGAAACATTAAATCTTGCTCCTTAATGTTGACAAGCTCAAAAGACATTTTTGTTTTAAATGGGTATTGTTGCTACCGATCCCTTATCTAATTAATTTTAGTATTGAGTATTTTTGCATGTCCTTGAATACAAATCACAAAGTTTACGCACAGGTCCAGCAAGCGAAACAAATAGTGTGTTAACCTTACCGTTCCATAAAGGGAATGAGTAGGAGTGTTGAGTCTTACTGTAGTTATGCACAGCCTTGTTGGGACTACACCTGGAATACAGTGTACAGTTTTGATATAGTTACCTGGGAGGAGTGTAATGAAAGTTAACTAGATCGGTAACAGGTATGAGGGATTGCTCTGAGAATAGGGTCTCAAACGAATTGGGAGGAAATTTTAGTGGGTCATAGAATTCCAAAGAGGCTAGAGGATATGGGGGCTCAGCGTCTCAGAACAAGGAGTTGAGCTTTTGGGACTTGTATACATAAGCACCCAAATCCCTTCGATCTTCCACAGTGCTGAGTTTATTACCATTTCCAAAACATGTTCCTGCCTTTGAAATCCTTTGCAATGGTCACTCCTCTGGTTATTATTGAAGGGCCCAGTTGTCTCTGAACCAGCCAACTTTTCAGGAAGTCTATCTACCTGTCCTGTGGTTGACATTTCATTTAACCATATTCACTGCTTGCTGGTATTGCACATTGTGTTTTATGTTGACCAGGTACTCATGCTTTGTCCATTATCTATTGAGAACAAACTGGTTATTTGACTTTATTTGCCTCCCAAGTTTTACTTTTCCAAATGGATAAGTTTCTGTTATCCCTTCACAGTGTGAAATGGCCTTTCCCCGGGTGAAGCCTGCCCCTGATGAAACTACTTTGAGTGAAGCCTTACTGAAGCGGAACCAGGATCTGTCTCCCACTCCATCTGAACAGGTAAGAATGTGGAAGTGCATGGGCAGGTTAATGAGCACCTCTTAACAATATACTGGCTCGTCAAAAGTTTAATTTCCATCAGAAGTTCAACCATACAATCCTTTGGGGGTGTGGTTTCCCAAACAAGCATGAGTAGGTGTGTCAGTGCAGATTGGAAGAGTTTCCACGTGGGAAATTGATGCTGCAAAGTGGCTCTTCCTGCCACTCCCATCAGTAATGCTCAACAACCCCCAATCAGTAAGGAAGTACCCTTCTTCACCAGCACAAGCTGGTCCCCGTGCACTGGAGTCATGACACTCCCAAAGCTGCTGCTGCTGTTCAGGTTAACCCCTCTCACTTGCTTATGAAATGTGGGGTTAGAAATTGTCTCTCTGCTAAAGACAGTTAGCCTGTCTGACTGGATACTTCCAGGACTTTGGTAGATCGCTAACAAATGACACCTTTGTGTTTAAAAGGCCCATGCAGTTGTCTGTTTCTTTTTGGAGTGAGGTGGCTGCAAACTGGCTGCCCTAGTTTTTCTGAAATGGTTCCTTCCACTGCAGCTAATGGAGAGGCTTGGGGCTTGAGGGCTTCTTGCTGTCGTTGTATGGCCGGAAGCAGGAAGTTAAGCACTTAAAGCCATCATGTTATGTAAGTGTTTGCAATCAATCTGTCACCTAGTAATTCCGTTAATTGAGATATGGCTATTTCCTAGGCTTCAATACTGTCCTTGGTTACCAAGATTAACAATGTGATTGACAACCTGATTGTGGCTCCAGGCAACTTTGAAGTGGTAAGTTGCACAATTGCTGTCTCTGTTACATGGGTTTGTGTTAATATTTATATACAGCACCTTTAAATGTAATAAAACACCCCAAAGTTCTTCACAGGATCATTACTAAGGTAAAACACACCGACTATAATGTAAAGATATTAGGGCAGATGACCAAGACGCTCACTCAAAGTAGTACATTTTATGAAATGTCTTCAAGACAGAGAGAGACAGAGGTGTAAGGAAGGCCTTGCGCTATTTCGAGCCCATGCTCTAAACGAAAAAGCGATGTTGGTGATCAAAGGTGAATGATTTATTCCCTTGACTCTCTAATTGGTCTTTTGCCTACAAGGATTGTGCATCCCTTGTTCCTGTTCCTGTTTCTTTTCAGCTTTCCCTTGACAGCCAAGAGGGTAGAGAGTCAGGTGTTAATCCTCCTTACTGGAGGTGGTTTTGATTATTTGAATGTTAGAGTTAGGGATGACTCACTGCAGTTCTACCGGGCCTTGATGAGACCACAACAATGGACTCCTTACCTAGGAGAGGATGTACTTCCCTTGGCGGGAGTGCAGCAGAGGTTCACTAAGCTGATACCAGGGCATCCCATAAGGAGAGATTGGTTCCATTGGGCTTCTGTACTGTAAGGGGATCTGTCTGAAAGTGTGCAGCGTAATCTCTTTAATGATCAATTGTACATTCCCCATGACAGACGACAAAATAACAAGCCTATAGTTTCCTGTTTACTTGAATTGAGAGTTGTATCTGCTACTTTCTGGTCTGATGGGACCTTTCTTGAATTGAGGGAATTTTGGATAGTCAAAGCCAATGCATCTGCTTCCTCATCAGCAACCCATTTTAAGGCTCTAGGATGAAGGCCCTCTGGACCCAGAGACATGTCAGCCTGCAGTTCGAACAGTTTACTTGGCACCACTTCTGTGGTGATTGTAATTTCATGAGGTTTCTCACTCACTTCCATCTCCCGATTTACTACAATTACTAGAATTGGTCTTTTTTTGTAACCTCTGTAGTGAAGACAGAGGCTATGTTGTGATGGTCTAGTGCCACTTTGATCATGCTTTGTTGTGATTAAATGTTGAATCTATTTTGTTATCCTGTCTTTTGTCCCTAAAGCAAATCGAGGAAGTCCGTCAGGTTGGCTCCTACAAGAAGGGAACGATGATGACTGGTCATAATGTCGCTGACCTTGTTGTTATCCTAAAGATCTTGCCAACTTGTGAGTACTGCCTACAGATCAAGGGAGTTCCTCAGTCACAGTCCTTCCGCAGTTGTATTTAATATGTAACACATGTCTTTAGGACTCTATCAGGATTGTGTTGTCAAAGTTCTGGATCTAATTCTATCCTGATGCCATTATCGTATCTCCTAACCCAAATGCTGCTGAATTTCCACGCAATCCTGATGTGACTGGTTTCTTTGTATGATTCTGTCACCCAGTCCTTGGGCCTAGTTCTAATAATGTGTTCCTTAGGCTCTGCTGCAGCAGCAAGGTGTTTAACAGCAAATCCCGAACGTGCAGGGCTGTTATCTTAGCCAGTGAGTCCCATTTGTCAGTCTGTTACAGTGACTGTCTCTTGTTACAGCACCTAATTTTATTGAAAATAATCCCATGGTTTAGTCACCATGAAACTGCATATTGCAAAATTTAATTGCTCTGTCCACAAACATCCCCATCTGATCTCTAGTTTTTTTTTTAATCAACCTGTTCAAAGATGTTATGATGCATTTCTGTAGCAGACAGGACTTGAACCCAGAAAGTTCACTTTCTCCCCTTAGAGTCATAGAGATGTACAACATGGGAACAGACCTTTTGGTCCAACTTGTCCATGCCGACCAGATATCCTAAATTAATCTAGTCTGGTTTGCCAGCAGTTGGGCCCATATCCCTGTAAACCCTTCCTGTTCATGTACCCATTCAGGTACCTTTTAAATGATGTAATTGTACCAGTCTCCTCCTCCTCTGGCAGCTTATTTCATGCACGCACCACCCTCTGCATGTAAAGGTTGCCCCTTACCTCCCTTTTAAATCTTTCCCCTCTCACCTTAAATCTATGCCCTCTAGTTTTGGACTCCCATACCATGGGGAAAAGACATTGGCTATTCACTTTGTTCATGCCCCTCATTTTATAGACCTCTATAAAGTCACCCCTGATCCTCTGCTGTTGCAGGGAAAATAGTCCCAGCCTCTCCTTATAGTTTGAACCTTCCAACCCTGGCAACATCAATGCAAATCTTTTGTGAACCGTTTCAAGTTTCGCAACATCTTTGTACAGCGGGAAGACCAAAATTACACGCTATCTTCTCTGGTTCTATTCTGAATACACTGAAGAAATCTGTACTTACTATGTCTATATCTCACACGTCATCCCATGCACCTTGTAAATTCTCCAACCCTTTCCTTCCAATACTGTAACCTGATGTGGAGGTGTCGGTGTCGGACTGGAATGGCAAAGTCAGAAGTCACACAACATCAGGTTATAGTTCAACCGGTTTATTTGAAATCACAAGTTTTCAGACGTGACCTGATGAAGGAGCAATGCTCCAAAAGCTTGTGATTTCAAATATGTCTGTTGGACTATAACCTGGTGTTGTGTGACTTCTGACTGTTGTAATGTGAGCTTCTCTAATCCTCCAAGTGGCTCACTCATTCACACTTGGTGCTCAATCTTGGGCCATCCCTTGCTTCCTCCAATACCACAATCGTTCGTCAAAAACTAGACACTCAAGATGCAAAGTCCTGGAAACGCCCAGTAAGTTCTCCAAATTCTGAGCAAAGAAGCCATTGTTCTTTAGCTGTTCTGAAGAAGGATCTGCAGTGAGCTGTGTTTTATTTTTCACTTTTTGTCTGTACATGCCATTGTTCAGCTTGTAACCAACTGTCCGTAATTGCTCTCAGATCAAATGTAATTATGTTTTTTGTTAAATTTTTCCTTGCCCTCAGTGGAAGCTGTTGCTGCTCTCGGTAACAAAGTGGCAGAAACCCTCCGGGCCCAGGAACCATCTGAGAGTAAGTGCTTGCTAATCTTGTCTCTTTAGTACTCATTCTGTCATTTATAGCTTTTCCTTCTGGTATTTTCACGTTGTGATTTGGTTTTATCTGGCACGAAGGATCCTAAGTGTTGTGACTAAATCACTCGTGGATCGCCTGTTGTCTTGTCCCTAGAAAGTCAAGATGGAAAAACCACAGTGTGCTGTAGATGTAACTATTGGACCTGCAGTTTGTAGAGCTCGTATCTAGAACCATAATGGACATGGCTGAGAATTCTAGTAACTAACACTGTCATGTCCGTTACATTATTTGTGACATATTGTAGATTAAATTTGTTAAAATGCCTTCAGGCAAGCCAACTCTCCTCCAATGGGAGGGGAGCTGACTGTTAAAAGTCCAGTGAGAAATAGTTCTTTGAATTCAGATGTGTGCAAGAGTCTTTACTGCGACAAGGAATGAGGTTTGACCAGTCGCAATTAAGTTTGTAATGAGCACAGTCCTGACGTCAAACTGTACTCGTTCTGGATGAAGGTGGGGGTTTGAGAGAGAGAGTGTGAATTATCAAACTTGCTGTGAGCATGGTTGCTGTGGGTAATGCTTTCTTGGTGCTAACTGATATAGTACAAGTTTGCAGTAATTTCTCCTTTATCTTGTCTGATCTCTTGTCACTCAGCATTTGAGAGGTCAGGAACTCGATGGAGAAGTGAATGATAGAAACCTTTCCTGCTATTTGGAGTAGAATTTAACAACCTGGTCTTGGGGAGTGTTGCTGAACAAAATGACCTTGGAGTACAAGTTCATAGTTCCTTGAAACTAGAGTCACAGGTAGACAGGATAGTGAAGAAGGCATTTGGTACACTTGCCTTTGTTCATAAGTGTGTTGAGTATAGGCGTTTGGAGGTCATGTTGCAGCTGTGCAGGACATTGGTTAGGCCACTTTTGGAATACTGCGTTCAGTTCTGGTCTCCCTGCTATAGGACGGGTGTTGTTAAACTTGAAAGGGTTCAGAAAAGATTTACAAAGACGTTGCCAGGGTTGGAGGGTTTAAGCTTTAGGAAGAGGCTGAATAGACTGGGACTATTTTCCTGGAGCATTGGAAGCTGAGGGGTGACCTTATAGAGGTTTATAAAATCATGAGGGGCATGGATAGGGTGAATAACCAAGGTCTTTTCCCCAGGGTAGAGGGGTCTGAAACTAGAGGGCATAGGTTTAAAGGTGAGAGGGGAAAGATTTAAAAGGGACCTGAGGGGCAACATTTTCACGCAGAAGGTGGTGCGTGTATGGATGAGCTGCCAGAGGAGGTGGTGGAGTCTGGTACAGTTACAACATTTTAAAAGGCATCTGGATGGGTACATGAATAGGAAGGTTTTCGAGGGATATGGGCCAAACGCTGGCAAATGGAACTAGATTAATTTAGCATATCTGGTCGGCATGGACAAGTTGGACCAAAGGGTCTGTTTCTGCTGTGTTGACCCTATGAATAGGTATTTGTGATGGAATTCTGCCCAAGACCCATATAAAGGCACCAATAGACGTACAAAGGGGAGTCAGAAACCATTGGACTTGAAGCCAGAGGCCCAGGTTCATGTGTAAGGGCAATCTCATTATGACAGCTAATAAATTTGAAATTCAGTTACTAAATCTAGAATAAAAAGATAATCCCAGCGATAGTGACCACGAAACTATCGTGGACTGTCATTAAAAACGCATCTGGCTCTCTACCTTTAGGGAGGGAAATCTGCCATCTTTGTCTGGTCAGCCCTATGTGTAATTCCGGGCCCACAGCAATGTGTTGACTATTAACTGCTGTCTGGCCCAGCCGCCAACTCTGGCCAAGAGCAGTTCATCATGGGCAACAGATGTTGGCCTTGTCAGTGACATCCATGTCCCATGAAAGAATACCCTTTCAAAAAGAAATCTCTGCTGTCAGCTGGGAAGAAGTAGATTTGACCAGAGCCCAACTCCTAATCAGTGGTTAGTGACTTTTCCTGAAGCAGGCTGGCATTGGGTCAATATCTCTACACGTGACCAGTATTCCCCAGCGCTTTGTCCCTGATAGGATAGGAGAGGTCTCGGCACCTCTGCCTCCGTATCCCAGAAAAGTATCCCTTTTCAGGATCCAAAGGAGGAAATTTATGGAGCGGTGGTGTTGAATTGCTGCTTGGTTTTATTTGAGCTGTGTGATATCATCAAGCTGTACAGCCAGACGATTGCCTTCTCAGGGAAACCATGTTTCAGTCAGGTGTTAAAAATGGTTTGGTGTTTGACTACATCAAAACTAACTGTTCTCTTCTTGCATCCAGTTCTCACTATGATCACCAATGAGACTGGTTTTGAGATCAGCTCACCTGACGCCACTGTCAAAATCCTCATCACCACAGTCCCACCCAACCTACGTAAGCTTGACCCAGAGCTTCATTGTAAGTATTCTTACTGCATATAAACATTCTGAAAACTTCACATTGTTTAACCTGTCCAACACTGCTTCTTTCCCAAAACGTACAACAAACCCTGAAGCAATGTAGCTGCCAACTTAGGGTGAGCGTGGCCTAATAGTCCAGAGAAGATAAACCCAATGCTGTCTACTCCTGTGTGTAGAACTGATATGTAGGACTGACTGGAACATCGTGGAGAGGTTCTCTGCTCTGCTCTGCTTTGAAATAACCACACACTGAAAACCGCTTTACTGAAACCGTACAGACCCTTAGTTTAGTGTCTCATTGCAAGCCAGTACCTTCAACGATACAGTATTCCCTCAGGAATGAATATTCATTCTGGATTTTTCCACTTCAGTCTCTGCTGCTGGACCACAGGCTTCTGAGTGTGACATCAATAGCACCCATTTGTAATGCTCAGAACTTAGGCTCTGGAGTGCAGTCCATCAAATGGCACTGACACTTGGACTGCTGAGCCATGTTTTCTGTAACTTTTCAGTTCTAAATATCTCGGCATGCAATCCATTCCATTGGAAATCCCGGCAGGTTCCAGACCTGGAGCTTGGTGCAGTGTTCCCCTCCTTGACCAATGAGTACACTTACACACGTGCTCACACACACACACCACCAAATTGTCCTAGATAGTGACCCGCTCCTCATCTGTGACAGTCAGGACGTGTAAATCGAATGGAATTCACATTGGTACCTGTGGATTTTGGGTAACTGTTTTCCAACCAGTGAATGTAGTTAGTGGCATGAAGCTGTGGGAGGTAGATTCTAATCCTGTTATTGTCCATTGTTTGCATGTACACTCCAGCAGGGAGTCAGCAGATAACCATCAAGCAGCCACCACGACTAATTCTCACACTTCCCAGCCCAAGATTGTTGTATCACTGTGCCCCACAGTTCAGAATGAAACTTGGAACCCACCGATCTCTTTGCCCTGGTGCTGAAACACCATGGGAGCTTCTTAAATTGAATAATCACTTTTAAAGTCTGTCTCATTTTATTAAAATTGTCAGGCTCGTGGGTGAAAGTTTTCAATGCGTTACACTGTAATACAGAACGGAATAGAATTGATCGATCCACTGGGGCTAACTGGTGTAGGTTGTTCAACCTAGTACTTGCTACATTAATCCCAATTTCCCTCCCGTCTTCAAATACTGACAGGGTTCACGTTTAATTGGGAACAAACATTACTAATATTTGTCAATGTGTTTAATCCAGGCAGTATGCAATGTCTCATCATATAATCTGATTCTCCATCTTGATATTAACATATTGTAGACGGAAACACTGCAGGAATTTTTTAAAATAGATATTCCTGTTTAAAGCTTGTTTCGTTTTATTAAAAATTGAAAGAATCCAATTGTCTCCACTGTTAAAATATGTGGTGTTTCTCTCTCTCTCTCTCTTTCTGCTGCTAATCTTGTAACGTGGCTTTACTTTCTAGTGGACATCAAAGTCCTGCAGAGTGCTCTGGCAGCAATTCGTCATGCCCGTTGGTTTGAGGAGAACTCCTCACAGTCCACGTAAGTCAGTGTCTGATTCCACTCCTAGGAAAGCCTGTTCTCTGAAAGTTGTGTCAAATGACTTCATTATTCTACACCCCTAGTATTTAAACTGCAAAGGTGATAATGACTGAGTTTGCATAACCCAGTGGAATAAAGAGTCATACTTGGTTTTGTCCAAACGTTGCATCCAATTTTATTTCCTCCTTTTGAATGTTCTGGCCATTTAAGGAGAAAAATTTCAAAAGTGTAACATAGAGCCTACTCCATTTCATGTACCTAATATCTATGTTAAGTGTTCCCAAGAGCGGTAAACACTGGCTAAATTAAACTTCCCTACACTGGCCCACCAAACTCTTCTACATCATGGTAGAGATAGATTCAAGTTTCTTTCATTACTGTGTGCCTGTCCCCCATCAAACCCACCCAGGTCAGGGGCAGCATTGGGTTAGGTACAGAATAAAGCTCCCTCTACGCTGTCCCCCATCAAATGCACCCAGGATAGGGCTAGGTACAGAATAAAGCACCCTTGACTTCTTAAAATTGAAATTAAACTGAATGTGAAGCTCCCTTGATGCTGACCACCACTGCCCCCCCAACCCAAAAAAAAATCAAACACTCCCAAGAAAGGGACAGCCCGGGGTTAAATACTGAGTAATGCACTCTCTACTCTTCTTTTAAACAGAAAGTAAACTGTAGCTAAAGCTATCTCTATTTTTTTTAACCTGAAAGTAAAAATGCCTTTACTCTTTAAAACTAAAAAGAAAAGTTACCTCGATACTGTCCCAGGGTCTGTTTCTGCAGGACAGGGACAGTGCAGGGTTAGCTAAAGAGTAAAGCATCCTCTCTTTTTAACTGAAAATAAAGCTGCTTCTTTTGAAAAGGAAGTGTCTCTCAACACTCTGCATCAACCACTCCCAAGACAGGGATTGCACAGAATTCAATTTAAGTCCTCCTTTCAGTTTTGTGCCTGAATATCCATTGCTGTTTTGCCGGCTTTTCTTATTCCCACAGTTGTCTGTTTAACTCTCCGGTTGCTGGTTTGCATACATGTATGCAGCCCAGAACCGGGAGGGTGGTTTAGAATGTGGAGCAGTGTCTGCTAGCATTGCTCTTAGAGGAATGCAGGAAACAGAAACTGAACGATCCATGTTGTGATGGTTCTCTGTTGCAACTCCGTGCTCACCCTCGGCAGCCTGTATGTTTGGTAAACATCATCAGTAGTGGCTGGTCTCTCATATTAAACGAAACAGCAATCCTGTTAGCGGTCAGTGTTATTGGGAGTGCTGAAATGTTAAATTCAAGGGCTTACACTTAAGTCTAAACATCAGCAGAGACCAATTATCAGTGAAGATGGAATTCAAATTCAGATTTAGAAAAACACTTATTTTCTTTTTAAGCGAAGAACATTTGCATTCAGTTACAAAGATTTTCTGCATTTGATTGTACATTGAATAATCCATTAAACTACAGGCCAAGGTTTGGATATTATTTCTGGGCTTGGCTAACATATCCTATGCAACTAAACTCCAATTGTTTTGCTTATCTTTGTTGTTGTTGTTTTTCAATGTCCTGGAGCATTGGGACAGGCTTTTCCTAGCACAGTTCCATCATTGATTAATAAATCCTAAACTGGAGATTGAGATTCTTATTGTTTGAAGTGTATTAATGGGATGTTTGACTTCAGGCTATGGGGTCCTGAAGATCCATGCTATGCTCACAAACTCAATGTTCACAAAGACAAAAGGGTGGCTGGACTAACTGCTTTCACCTTTCCTCAGAGTTAAAGTACTGATACGGCTCCTGAAGGATTTGAGATGTCGCTTCCCTGGATTCGAGCCTTTGACACCCTGGATCATTGATCTTCTGGTATGTGTATGGTGACAGCAACCCTGGTCACACATTTGTCCAACTCTTAAGAGCCTCTGACAGGTTAATCCAATGAGGCACTGAGCTGGCTACAGTATAAGCCCAGATCTGTTATATGCTGAGTCAGCTGACTGCGGCTGGTATCAGGTTACAGTTGGACTTGATGCCTGTTGGGTGAGGAAGGCTGGAAAGTAGAGAGCACTCCTTTTCCTGATTGCTATTTAGCTGCCTGCTGGCAATATGTGTGTACTGGTTCAGGATAAGGCCTGGCTTGATGCGTGGCCTGTCAACACTTCACTGTACACACCCTCAGATAAATAACAAAATAGGCAGTAATCCATTGTTCCTCTGGAAGGAAGGGTAGGTTTAGAACAGTGGGTGAAAAAGAAAAGACACTTTTTAAATATGTAGTCACGAAATAACATGATTGAGCTTATGTGAAATCTCTGTTCATCTACTCTATTGTACCTGCCTCCCTTGGTGACACCCATTTAACTGCTGGCTGTCTGCTTTTTATAAAAGAAACCCTGTCAGCGCAGGGGAGAAATAATGCCTTTTTCTTTCTTCGCCATTTCACAATGCTTCCTGGACACAAGCGGTTTTGTTTTGTTTTCTTGTGGGCTGTAGAAGTGTAGTTCTGTGGCGTGTGGAAGAGAGTGGGTGGGGGGGGGAAAGGTGATTTGATTTCTGAATGGGAGGAGAAGCAGATACAAAAGCACAATGCTGTAGAAGCTCAGCAGGTCTGCCAGCTCCTGCAGAGAGATCATCCAAGTTCACATTGCGACTCTGATGTGACTGCAGAATCATTCAGATTTCTGGCATGCATAGTGTTTTAGGCAGCAGAGGCAGTTTTGTTTGAAGATTTACAGACCAAGGAATGACATGCAAGGTGGCTTTACCCCTTCCCATCCCTGCTGGATATGCTGCATCGAGGAGGAGCATCATGTGGCCATCCATTTCCAGTAACTTGTCCCAAATAAACTCCACTTTTATCCACTCCCAACACCAACCTCTGCATGCACAGTCAGACAGATTCATTTAGATAATTCTCAGGAGCAGGGACTCTGATCGATTTGAGACAGTAAGTTCCTTCCCTGGTACTGGGTCTTGCAGGGGATTTGTAAAATCCAGGAAATTCAGCAAACTGCCCTTTATTCATCACTCAACTGGACCTCCCTGTTTTAATTCTTCCATTTGCAATCGTCCTTTTCAAATAGTTCTTCACGTAATTGTTCTAAGCTCTTGTTTTAATCACCATTTATGTTAAATAACCCCTAGGGAAGGTACTTTTTGTTTCCCCTAAATTCTCTTGGTGACGACTTTGAATCTCTGTCACTTTCATTGCAGAAAATACGGAGGCATGGGATTGAGGGTGATTTAGCGGTTTGGATCAGAAATTGGCTAGCTGTAAGAAGACAGAGGGTGGTGGTTGATGGGAAATGTTCATCCTGGAGTTCAGTTACTAGTGGTGTACCTCAAGGATCTGTTTTGGGGCCACTGCTGTTTGTCATTTTTATAAATGACCTGGATGAGGGCGTAGAAGGATGGGTTAGTAAATTTGCGGATGACACCAAAGTCGGTGGAGTTGTGGATAGTGCGGAAGGATGTTGCAGGTTACAGAGGGACATAGATAAGCTGCAGAGCTGGGCTGAGAGGTGGCAAATGGAGTTTAATGCGGAAAAGTGTGAGGTGATTCACTTTGGAAGGAGTAACAAGAATACAGAGTACTGGGCTAATGGTAAGATTCTTGGTAGTGTGGATGAGCAGAAAGATCTCGGTGTCCATGTGCATAGATCACTGAAAGTTGCCACCCAGGTTGATCGGGTTGTTAAGAAGGCGTACAGTATGTTAGGTTTTATTGGTAGAGGGATTGAGTTTCGGAGCCATGAGGTCATGTTGCAGCTGTACAAAACTCTGGTGCGGCCGCACTTGGAGTATTGCGTACAGTTCTCGTCACCGCATTATAGGAAGGATGTGGAAGCATTGGAAAGGGTGCAGAGGAGATTTACCAGGATGTTGCCTGGTATGGAGGGAAGGTCTTATGAGGAAAGGCTGAGGGTCTTGAGGCTGTTTTCGTTAGAGAGAAGAAGGTTAAGAGGTGACTTGATAGAGACATACAAGATGATCAGAGGATTAGATAGGGTGGACAGTGGGAGCCTTTTTCCTCGGATGGTGATGGCTAGCACGAGGGGACATAGCTTTAAATTGAGGGGTGATAGATATAGGACAGATGTCAGAGGTAGGTTCTTTACTCAGAGAGTAGTAAGGGCGTGGAATGCCCTGCCTGCAAAAATAGTAGACTCGCCCACTTTAAGGGCACTTAAATGGTCATTGGATAAACATATGGATGATAATGGAATAGTTTAGGTTAGATGGGCTTCAGATTGGTTTCACAGGTCGGCGCAACATCGAGGGCCGAAGGGCCTGTAATGCGCTGTAATGTTCTATGTTCTATGTTCTGTAAAACCAGTTCACAATTCCTAAAACACAGAAATATTCGAAGGGTGTAAATAAGTGGAACAAGTGGAAGCCTTTTACTTGACCTATCCAACTCTTGTCTGCTGAGTGCTTTCCTGTAGGAGTGGAGAGAGCCGTGTTGTGACTTCCTTGGGCCTTGAGAGGAAGCAGTGGCTGGCTGAAGGCGAGATGACAAAGAACTTGTTACAAGAAACGTATAAAGTGACCAGAGTGTTTTCATCTGGAGCTGACTCTTCCCTTGAATTATCCTGCAGGGCCACTCCGCTGTAATGAACAACCCATCCAGACAGCCGTTGGCACTCAATGTTGGCTTCAGGTATGTGCTGGGAAGGGAAATGGGGATGATCCCTGTTGAGCGTACATCCATGGGTTGGATGATGCTCTTTTCCACATATTTTATTCCATCAAGATGATGATGAGAGAAAATGAAAGAGTCACGTTGTGTGTGTCTGTTTGGGGTAGGGATGGATAATTTGGAAGTGGAATAAGAGCTCCAGAGCAGTCTCTACATGTGTCTTACTGTCATGGATTTGTAAGACACATCTGCTTGAGACATGATCATCTCTGTTTTGGGGGGTTGGGAGTGAAATCAGAACAAATATTTGCTTGATTGTTTGTTTTCTTTTACAGGCGCTGCCTACAGCTCCTTGCAGCAGGATTGTTCCTGCCAGGATCAGTGGGAATTACAGACCCTTGCGAAAGTGGAAATTTTCGAGTGCATACAGTGATGACTCTTGAGCAGCAGGTAAGGATCTTCCTTCAACCTGAGGTTACTGACTTACCATGCTTTTCTAAGGTTGTGGGCCAGATGAATTTCAAAATGACCCTGAGCCTGGTAGTTCACTGCTGAGCCATTGTTCCATGTAACTGGGATGTTTGCTGAATCTCAATTGTCAGAAAATGAATCCTTTCAGTGTACATCATCTGGAGTACCATGTCCCAGCAAGGCCTTAGTACCTTCCAAAGAGTGGATAACTGGCAAGAAAGGTGTAAAAAGCTGCTGAGAATTAGATGCCTTTGGTTTCGTGGAGGGATCTGTCTCTCACAGTATGACACAATATCTTGCATCCTTCAAAAATAGCTAAAGTTATTAAGCTCAGTGCATTTGTGCCTTCTAACTGTTTCAGACCACTATATAAGTGTGTGGAAGAAATCTCCTCTCTTCCGGCTCCATTATAAACTTTGTAGAACAGAAAGAAGCCCTTTGGCCCATCATGTTGATGCTGGTTCTTTGAAAGAGCAGTCTTGCTTAGTCCCCCGTGCCTGACACAAATCGCTGCAAGTTGCTCATCATCAAACCCCTATTCAGGTCCCTCCCATAAAATTACCTGTGGAATTCATCCTTTTCCAGACTGAGCATTCCAGATCCCAGCAACTCTTCAGTGAAAACGTTTCTGCTCACCTCTTCTTTAGATCTTTGCCAATGATTTTAAATCTGTGGTCTCTGGTTGTTAACCTAATTGAGAGAGAAGTTCTATTTTATTCCTTATGTGGACTGTACCGAAACCACTTACCAACTTCCAAAGCATTGTTTGAGTGACTTCTGCTCTGAGAAGAGTAGACCCCTAACTTTTCTAATCTCCCCTCCCCATTTCTGGTCATGTCCTGGTAAACCACCCCTGTCCCTTGTTAAAGGCCATTACGTTTTCCTTTTGATGTGGACAATCTGGGCACCACAATACTCCTGCTGACGCTGAACCTGTAGTTTATAAACTTCTTCCGAAATGAATTCTTTGCACTTATGTTCTGTGCCCATGATGAATGCTGTCTTAATCACCTTATTAACTCACCCTGCCACTTTAGAGAATTAGTGTAAATGGATACTGAAGCTCCTATGGCCACCTGTACAGGCTTGTGGAGGCCTCCTCCCCAGCTCACTCTCATCGTATTCTTGAGAGGAACCCGGGTTCTTCTACTCCTGATGGGCTCAGTTTCTACATAGCTGCCAGTTAATATTTGAGTAATGAATTTGAATGTGCCGGTGTTTCAATAGCAGTTCCTCCTCTGAACTGAAATCTAATTGGTTCCAGCCCCACTGCAGGAACTTGAGTACATGATGGAAGTTGACATGGGGGAACAGTGGTGAGAGAACACCCGCACTGTCCTGAGGTGCCTCCTTTCAGATACAACTTCAGTCTGTTCGTTTATCCCCTTGTCATTTGTGGGACCTTGCTGTGTAGGCAGCAAGGGTGACCAAACTTCAAGGAGGCACTTTGGCTTTCCACAGAACTTGGGTTGTTTTGTCTTCTGTTTCCCTTGTGACCGACCCGAGTGCACTGAATCTTGTTTCCTCTTTTAGGACACGGTGTGTTTCACAGCGCAGACCCTGGTCCGCATCCTTTCTCACGGAGGGTACAGGAAAATCCTTGGGTTAGAAGGAGACGCCAGCAGTAAGTGCTACTTGACATTATCCCCTCTGCCTTTCTCTCTCATCCTCCCAAATATGGGTGTCCAGGAATCTAAACCATTTCTCCACAAAACCTCCTATACTTGACAAGTTGGAATGATGAAACATTTGAAGCGAAAGGAATTCCTCCTGGAATGATGATAAGAGATGCCAGCTTTGAATCCCCATGTTGTTATCTCACTGCGTGGTGGGGGCGGAGAGTGAAAACTGGCCTCTGGCCTTGTGCCTTTAGCCTGGGGAGGTGAGAAATCAGCTGGGCTTCATGCCCCTGACCGATATCCAACAGCCGCTGTGGGTGGGCATGAATTGAAGAAGGGCTTGGCCTGGTTTCTGACATCCTCGTGATCGGTAGAGTACTCTCAGAAGCTGACCACTTGGCACCAGATAGTGATTGATTATACACAAACTGCAAGGGTCGTCACAGAAGGAGGAGAGAAACCCACGCGTGCATCGTCTGGTCATTTATGAACATAAGAATTAGAGCAGAAGTAGGCCATTCGGCCCCTTGAGCCTCCTGCACCACTCAGTAAGATCATTGGGTTCTGAATTCCACTTGGCCATCTAAACCCAAAACCTTTAATTCCTCTACTAGACAAAAATCTCTGTCTTGTAAATATTCAGTGTGCTCTCACTTGCACTGCCTTCTGTGGCGGTGTTCCAGTCTCTCTCAACCTTCTGAGCGAAAAGAATTCTCATCTCTGTCATAAAAGACAATCCCTAATTTTGGAATAATATTCCCAAATTCTTCAGAAACTGGACTCCCCAAGTTCCAGACTCAAGGAAACCACCTTTGTGTCCACCTTGTCAAGACCATTCAGGTTCTTATGCATTTCGTTTACGTTACCCCTCACTGTTTTAAGCTGCTGTGGAAACAAACCCAGTCTGTCCAATCTTTCTTTATGAGACAGCCCATTCATTCCAGGTGTCAATCTGGTAAACCTCTTCTGAACCACCTTCAACATCACTTATGTCAGCCGCTGTAATCCCAAACGTAAGCAGAAAGCAGTGGGAGGTTAGTTCCTTTTTAGTATTCTTTTACGTAACTATTTTTCTTTATCAGTACGTCACTGAAGTTAGCAGTAAGGCTGTTTTTAACAAACTGTTGCCTTGTGAATATTCAGCACACTGCAGGCAGGGCCAATCTCAGTAGATCTGTGCTTGTCTAATGTGCTAATTTGTAACACAAGCATGCGAATATCTTGGTATTATTTAGATCTGAAACATTGAGTTTATATGTGCCTTCTTTGGACACCAGTGCTACAGATTTAATGCATTGTTTTAAGACCTCAGTCTTTAGCTACTTGGCTTGAATTTTTTTTTAAAATAAAACTTGGCATTCAGGGACTGATGCACAGATTTTTCTCCTGGAGTGCTGGCTGCATTGCTTTTCAGTATTGAGCACTTCACTGAAATGGCCAAATTTGATCGAGCTCTGTGGGCAGAGCGTGTGACTTGGCTGCCCAAATGGACCTTGAGTGTGAGGGACAAGGGATTGTCTACCTGTTGTCCCGAGCCTCCGCTTAGTAATTCTAGAACAGGAGTACTAGCGTTGAGGCCAGTGGTCAGGTTAATACTGCCAAATTCTCTCGGGCTGTAGGGGGCTAAGTTAAGAGGACCCCAGGTTTAGAGTAAACCTTTGCGCACACCTTCTCACGAGCTTACAAACGGAAGCGTCAGGGGGTAGGATAGTGACACAGCAACAGGGCAGACCCCAACGGTATAGGGGACTAGCAAAGAGGCAAGATGAGAGCAGTTTGTGTTCCACCATCCAGTCCAGAGGTTAAGAGGATGAGGAACATGTCATGAAGGTGTGTTAACTGTTGAATGGTATGCAGGAAGGTCAGCTCAGAGTGCCATGCAATATCAATCAAGCTTCTGGGACACCGCACGGATTAATGACAAGTACACATGAAGGAAGCATCTTTGAGAATTACTTACAAAGCTGCTGAAGATTTGAATTAGTTCCGGATAGGGGAATGGTTTCACAGTGTGATTCTCCACTGGATTAATTAGAGTCCTAGAGGCTACAGTTTAGGTACTGTCTCTTTTGTTTGTTTTTTTTTTTTTTTTTGTCTTGCTGTTCCAGGAATGATTATAACTTTGACTCCCAAGTATTTGGAGGTTGGGCTTTGACATGTGCTCGTGTTTTGCTCTGTGTGACCAGACCATTGTGTGAAGCAGTGATCCCTTGCTTTGTTAGGTCTAGCAGTGGAAATGTCCACTTGGGATGGAGTGATAGTGACGCCCTCCGAGAAGGCATATGAGAAGCCACCTGAGAAGAAGGAGGGAGAGGAGGAGGCCACAGAAGGAGCTGAGGAAGAGGAAGAGAATATGGAGACTGCAGAGTAAAGGACTCTTGCTGTGATGTTACTTAGTGGTATGTGCAATGTCACATGGTGTTATCATCAAGATTATTTCACCCACTGCCATTGGTACCATTTTATTTAAAAAATGTCTTCAGTTATATCCACACACTGTCCCTGCCACAAGTGATACATCTGTACCCACCAGCAAATCGCTCCCGTGTTATCCAGCTTTAATGGCCCGATCTCTCCAGATATAGCTCTGGCCAAGAACTGTACTGTTTCTCTGATCCACAGTTAATGTAAACTAAATGACATGCCCATTATAGAAACATAGAAAACAGATGCAGGAGTAGGCTGTTCAGCCCTTTGAGCCTGCACTATCATTCAAAATGATCATGCAATCTCAGTCTCCCATTACCTCTTTCTATCCATACCCCTTAATCCCTTTAGTCAACAAGTGTCATGTACAGCTCCCTCTTGAAAATATCTAACAAACTGGCCCCAGCAGTTTCCTGTGGGAGAGAATTCCACAGGTTCACAACTCTCCTGAATGAAGAAATTCTTCCTCATCTCAGTCCTGAATGGCTTACCCCTTATTCTTAGATTGTGACCCCTAGTTCTGGCCTTCCCCAACATTAGGAACCTTATTCCCGCATCTAGCTATCCAGTCCCATCAGGATTTTATATGTTTCTATGAGATTCCCCCCCTCATTCTTCTAAATTCCAGTGAGTACAAGCCCAGTCAATCCAGTCTTTCCTCATATGTCAGTCCTGCCACCCCAGGAATCAGTCTGGTGAACCTTCGCTGGACTCCCTCAATAGCAAGAATGTCCCTCCTCAGACCTAGGAGACCAAAACTGCACATAATACCCAAGGTGTGGCCTCACCAACGCCCTGTATGACTGCAACAAGACATCCTTACTGTGATACTTAAATTAAAAGGTACTGAAATTCTTATGACAGCTTTTTGTTTTTAAATTCACACCTGCCGAATGCCATTGTGTTAATGAACGATATATGTGATGATGTTTAAAGCAGCTATGTTCTGGTGCCAGTATTTGTAACAAAATATGAAATGGGACTTGAAGGGGAAACTATGCCATTTGGTAAGTTCAAAACCAAACTGGCCAGAACAGCTGGGTTTAATTTGTTCCTTCAGATACGGCGAGTGGAATGTCATGGAGATTTTAGTGGATCCATGAGATCATTTGGTCATCTGTGGTGAGGTTTACTTAGTGAAGATGGCTGAGTGCAGTGCTTGAAGGTGTGTTGCATCGTTAGCAATACTGTAGTTCAGAACATCACAGGGAGTTGTTCTGGGACCTGGTCCATCGCCATTCCTCCCTGTACCAAAATGTTAAAAGGCAAATTTGTTGTTAACTCACCCAAAGTTGGCGGGACAGTGCATGGAGAAATGGTGTCAAGCTTGTCTATTTAAGCGTCTACCGTTCAAAGTGAGATATGTGGAACAGTTTGTGTCATCCTCAAGCTGTGATTAAGTGTGGCTTAATTACTACATATGTTTAAAACAGCGGGTGATAATTTTTTGATTATTAATGGCATAGAGGGATAGTGTGGGTAAAAGGCATTGGAGATGTTCAATCAGCCTCGATTGTATTAAATAGTGCTGCAGGCTTGACAGGATGAACGACCTGCTCTGTTCCTAGTTCCTGCGTCATTTGCATGCCATTTTGGTTAATATTGCTGGCTGCTGCTCCCTGGTCAAATGAGTTTCTATTGATGAATTTCGCAGCCAGACACGTAGTCAGTCCTCTCTGCCAGGCTTCAACTGAAGTTTTTTCTTTCTCCTCTTTTTTTTTATTTAAAATGTTTGCTCCTTCCTCCTCTCTCTCTTTCAGGTCAGTCCCCAGTGTCTGAGCAACATTCTGACAACACACACACACGCTGCTGCCTTGCCACTGGACCAAGCAACAGACTGCTGCCCTCTACTTTTTCGCCTTGTTTATTGTATTCCTTTTGTAGTTGATTCCAGTTGCAATAAAGTTGTTTTTTTTTCTATTTCCATTTCTTGTCCATCGATTAAAATGTGACATTGGATGGTTCTTTATAGTTGTTTGCTTTCGGCTGAGTAGCAGAATGGTCTGCAGTAATGGACCTCGGTTCCTTGACACTCCAAACTTCTTGCACTGTTTGCTTGTGATTTCACTGAGAATATAAGTAAGCCTATCAGCATACACACTTGCAAACTGGTCTCACTGTCAGTCTATAACTTTTTCCAGCTCCTGAATTTTGGAAGTGCCAGAGCTGAGTAACCGAGGGTAGTCTAATCGAGGATTTTGGATGGTTTTTCTATAGAATAACAGACACCCGGGAGTTACAGACTGGAATCTAATCGAGGGTTTTTGTGTGGTTTATATATAGAATAACAGATACCTGGGAATGACTTGCACCCTGGAAACTTAACAAGGGGTTAGTGGGTGTGTCTGTGTGGTGCAGTGCTAATGGCTGTCTTTCTGGGCTAGATTCAAGTTCTGCCTGCCCTGGAGGTTTATCTGGACAGATTGAGTTGAGCACTCTTGTGGGCCAGAAGGCCCAGGTTAAAGTCTCATATGTCTTGTAGGTGGGTAATAACATGTCCAAGCAGGTACTTATGTACTATATACAAAATTCTTCGATATAGAAAAGGTCCAACCATTGCCATTTGCTTCATCAATGACCTTCTTTCCACCATAAGGCTAGTGGGGGGGTGGGGGGTCAAAAGCAAAGTACTGTGGAAGCTGGAGATCGGAAACAAACACTGATAATTCTGGAGGAACTCTGTAGGTCAGGCAGCATCTGTGGAGAGCGAAACATAGGTAATGTTTCAAGTCTGCTACATCTCATTGAGAAAAAGATTTAATTTGTCTGTTTCAGAAGTGGGATCTTTACTGAAGGTTGCACAATGTTTACCATTTGCAGCTCCTGGATACTGAAGCAGTTTATGTCCAAATATGAGGTCAGGCTTAAGACTGACAAATGTCAAGTGCCAGATATTGGTCATCTCCAATGTAGAAACCTATTCATTGCCCTATGACATTCAGTGGCATTTCCATCACCAAATCCCCCAATATCAACATCATTGACCAGAGACTCAACTAAGCCTTATAAATATAGTGGCTTCAAGAGTAGTCAGAGGCTAGGAATCCAGCAAATAATTCGCTTCCTGACTCACCAAAGCCTGTCCACCATCTGCAAGACACAGGTCAGGAGTGTGAAGGAATACTCCCCACTTGCCTCGTTGAAGCAGCTGTAACAGCATTCAAGAAGCTCACCACTTTCCAGGACAAAGCAGCCCCTGTCCACAAACATCCACTCCCTCCACCACCAACGCTCACTACCAGGAGTGTCTACTATCTACAAGATGCACTGCCACAACTCACTAAGGCTCCTTAACACCCACCAAGGGCCACAAACTCTCCTATCTAGAAGGTCAGGGGCTGCAGCTACATGGAAGCACCACCACCTGGAAATTCCCCTTCAAGCCACTCACCATCCTAACTTGGAAATATATCATCATTTCTTCAGTATTGCTGGGTCAAAATCTTGGAATTCCCTCACTCATGGCATTGTGGATCTACATACAGTACATGATCTACAGCAGTTTAAGAAGGGCACCTCAAGGGGCAATTAGGGATGGCGAATGAAAGCTGGTCTCGCCAGTGGTGCCGTGAATGACTTGTAAACAATAAAGGTAGGCAGGGTGAGTTACAAACCAAATTCTAATTGAGTGGTTAATAGCATATCAGGAAAGAAATGTGAAATTTGTCGAGACCTAGAATGCATTCCTTTGTAGGTTTGTGCTTCTGATTCCCAGTTTTATTGAGGTGTGGTGGTTTGGATGGTTAGAGCCAAAGAATCCTGGAAAATTGTGAATGACTAGATTTGCTCAGCTCTGGAATTGTTTGCTAAAGCAGCTTTTTCTATCAATTTTTGCCATTGTAGTCTATTTCCACCTTTTGGGTCGTTGTTGCTTTTAAATTTTCCTTGTATATCAACAGCTGAAGTCACTCTGGTGGGGGTGTGGAGGACAGATTAAAACCTTGCTCATCTAATCTCCGTTTCCTTCACCTAGCAACCTTTAGTCCCTCAGGGAGACTGCTACGTGCTGGGCAGTGTTGCTGAGGCCTGTGTCCTGTTGGGAAAATAAGTCCTTTCGTGATATGAAAACATGAAATACACAGCACTTACAGTAGTCCATGCAGCCTCTGGTATTTGCTGTTCCATTTAATAAAATCAGGCCTGATCTACTCCTGACAGTCACCGGACGTGAAACATTAACTCAGCTTTCTTCCCACGGATGTTGCCAGAACAGTACAGCAGGGGAAAGAGCCCTTCGGCCCACAGTGTTGTGCTGAACATGACACTTCTGCCTGCCCTTGGTCTGTATCCCGCCATTCCTTGCATATTCATGTCCTTATCTAAAAGTCTCTTAAATGTCCCTATTGTATCTGATTCCTCCACCGCCAGCACGTTCCACATACCTACCACACTCTGCGTTTAAAAAAAAAACTTTGCCCTTCATATCTTCTTTGAACTTTCCCCCTCTCACTTTAAATGCATGCCCCCTTGTTTTAGACACTTCAGTTCTGGGAAAAAGATTCTAACTGACAACCCTATCTACGCATCTCACAAGTATCCCCTCAGCCTGCTGAGTTTCTCCAATGATTTCTGATCTGCACAACCGCAGCCCTCCACCTACCCTTTCCCTATACTGCCTAGGTTCTGTCTATGCAAGAATTTATGGACCCTCTATCTTGGAGTTTAGGGGTGAGGTTTAGGCCAGTTGGCCCCCTCGAACCTGCCGCGTTATTCAGTAAAGCTGATCTGGTTGTGGTCTTGATGCCAATTTATTATCTCCGTCCTCCCTCCACAACCCTGGCTGCTTTATTAAAAGTCTGTCTGGTGAATAAATTCGATGATCCAGCCTCCAGCTTTAACACAGTACAAATGATTGCATTGAGTAACCTCAACGACTGAGCCCTGCAAAGGTTCACAACCCAACAAGGGAATAAACTTCTTAACTTTGTCCAAAATGACTGGCACCTCCTCCTGAAGCTACAGCCCCTTAGATTCAGATTCTACAACCAGGAGAGTAGTCTATTCGCTTCCCATCCTTTGTTTCCATGAAGATGTTAGTTCATACTGTGTTCCAGTTCCACATGCATCATCTGTGCTCCAGTAGAACTTTTAACTTTTTTGCTTATTTCTCTATTTTTGTACCAAATATATTTCAGTACCTAAGGTTTGTAACTAGGTATTTTGTACCTGAGATGGTGCTGTGTGTGGCAACATTGTACACTTTTCACTCTATTCCTGTACTTAACTACGTGTGACAATAAAACCTATAGAATTCCAGTTAGGACACGCTTGCAATATTGCACACAGTTCTGGTCCCCACACTACCATTAGGATGTGGATGTTTTAGAGAGGGTCGGAAGAGGTTTACCAGAATGGTATGGGGGATTTTAGCTACGAAGAAAGGTTGGATAGACTGGGTTTGTTTACACTGGAGCACAGGAAGTGGCGAGATGACCTGATAGAAGTTTATAAGATGTGAATGTGAATTTTATGTGAATGTCATGGATAGAGTGGAAAGTATGAGGCTTTTTTCCAGGGTGGAGGGGTCACTTACTAGGGGACACAGGTTCAATATGCAAGGTTTGGAGGGGGATGTTTAAAAGAGATGTGCGAGGCACGTTTTTCGCACAAAGGGTGTTGAGGGCCTGGAACGTGCTGCCAGAGGAGTTGGTGGAAGCTGACACAATAGCAGCATTCAAGAAACACCGGATGAATACATGAATAGGAACGGAATAGAGGGATATGGATCCTGTAAGTGAAGATAGTCTTAGTATGGAAGGGCAAAATGTGTCGGCGCAGGCTTAGAGGGCCGAAGGGCCTGTTCCTGTGCTGTATTGTTCTTTGCTCTTGTTCTAATTCTAATTGACCATGTCTATCTCAGTGAATATCTGTGTGCTTTACAACTCTGGAATGTATCATGCCCACTTTCGGGGGATATATATTTTCAAGCTAGTGTTAGGGTCTGGATAGTGATCCTGACTGAGGTTTGCTGACTTCAGTGGAGAGCAGACTCCTTCCCTGTGCAACAGGATTGATTCCACATTCCTCTGAGTCAGTGTTGAACTGATAAGCAGCTTCGCAACTGCAATATCAAGGACAAGTTCTGGGATGGAGGCGTCTGTGGAGCAGTATTATCCTGTTTTTCACTCTGCGATTTTAATTTGCTGGAATATTCCTGACCACTGGAACACTTTCCCCTCAGATTCTGCTTGCAGAATCCTCCGCTGACTATGCTAGGTTGATTCTGGAATTGAGAGGGTTGGCTTATGAGGAGAGATTGAGTCGGCTGGGACTATACTCATTGGAATTTAGAGGAATGAGTGGGGGATCTTATAGAAATACACGAAATTGTGAAGGCAATAGGTGGGATAGAAGGAGGGAGATTGTTTCCACTGGTGGGTGAAACTAGCATTAGGGGGCATAGCCTCAAAATAAGGGGGAGCAGATTCTTTGCCCAAAGGATAGAGTATCTGTAGAATTGCCTGTCCAGTGAGACTGCTTTGTTGAAAGTTTTTAAGGCAAAGATAGACTTTTGGACAGTAAAGGAATTAAGGATTACGGTGAGCAGGTGGTTAAGTGGAGCTGAGTCCATGAAAAAGATCAGCCATGATCACATTGAATGGTGGGACAGGCTTGATGGGCCAAGTGGCCTACTCCTGCTCCCTGTTTCTTATTTTCTTGTGACCATGTTTCCAGCCTCAGCCTTTCTGATTCTTCTCACTGTTTTGGCTTCTGCTTGGCATCCTTGAAAGCAAGCAACTAGAGATGCCTTTCTGTATATCCCCAACACCATAATAAATAGTGTGTCATTTTCCTGGCTGTATTTAAAACAAGCTGTCAAACTGTTTCAATCCAAAGATTTATATGCCCATTTATCCCTTGTAGCTGATCTACCTAAAGCATCTGATGGATGGAAATAGTGTCAAAGAAGAAATGTTCTCTGAA